TTACCCATACTTTCATTGAAATCATGTTTGAATTATGATTCTGATACCCCGTCAGTATTTTCTTTGTTGATCTAAATAATAATGAGGTCTTAAGTGACAAAGTTAATAAGGGTGTATTTACTTGGCCTAACTCTAACTACTTATGTGTTATTTAGTTTGTATGTTTGAAGTAGAAGTCTTTGACCAAATGAGGTGGCCTGGGATGAACTTTAACTGCCTATTTCCTCAAACACAAGTAGAGGTTGACACTAGTGTATCAGTTTCTTTTGTTACGACCCACTGGATGCACTGTGACTATATACTCTGAACCTGTAGGTACCGTCATTAGAGCTATACAAAGTGCATGTGGCCATTGAAAATCAAGTCAGCATTCCATAATTTGTGTGTCTCACGATGGTACTTGAGAAACAAATTTGTTATCGTTAAGGGATTTTTACATACGACAGGTTCTGCTATTCAGTTAACTAGCCAAGTCCACTTACATATAATACATATTAATGAAAACTGCTTCATATGTTACAGATTTTTTAAGCTCTTATTTCATACTACAGATAACTTACATCACATGATAAGAAAAGAAAAACTTCATAATTTTTACAGGCTTTAAATTATAAGCTTTAAACTTAAACAGTTTTCAAGTATTTGAAAATATGATCACAGCTGTATGTATTAAAGCAAAATTACAACCCGTACAGATATAATTGATAAACATTTCATGATGCCTGCAAAGATTTTTGTGTTGATCAGGAGATAAACATTTCCTATGATGCTTTTTGTGATTCAGGTCTTTCTCCTCAGGTGAGAGGACAGGTATACAAGAAATCTAAGACGACAGAATTTGATCTGATGTGCTTGAGAGGTTCTCTCGGTATAAACATGGTTATAACACTGAAATAATTTAATGCCGAGTTGTATCACTCTAGTACATAATGTCACTTTTAGCTCAGTTTCTTTAAAGTGAACTTCTACCATGTCTGATAAACGATAGCGATAACATCATAAATATCCTCAGAATGTTTTCAGCAAACACAAACAAGAAAACAGAGCCTAATGACAGGAAGTGTTATCTTGTTTATCCACTAACCGTGCATCCCTTCTTTTCAGGCGAATTTTAGCACTCACATGAAATCAACATATAAATATAATAATATTACCAACAAAATATGCCTTTCCTAATATAAGCAATCATAACATAATGAGATTTTTCATAGTGCAATAAAAAAAATTGTGACACCTGTTTTTAAATCAATACTACAAATGTCCTCATTTCTGAAGTTTTGTAGCTAGTATTTCATAACTATAACAAACAGTCAACATCACATTTTCAAAAAGACCTTAAAGGAATTTTTAAAAGCTGTATCATACAGGTGTAAGAGGTGGAAAAAATGATAAACATGTTACACATCACCATTGGTGGTCGGTTTTCTTTTTCTATTGGTGCAGTCAACGTAATAATTTATTCGTGTTAATGAAATGATTGTGCAATTCAAAATGCAAATACAAGCATCCTCTAATAAACACCTTCAATGAAATATTAAAAATAAGTCCATTTTTTTTATTGAAATGTCTAAAGGTTGCTTGTAAATATTTGAAGTATTATGAATAAGACAACCAAGATCTCCATACCTTTGAACTACTGACTACAAAGGTTTTGATCATTTTGTCATATAAGATTCCAACAATAAAAGTTTTCACAACCATCACCAAATCATTGACAGATACTGACCCTAACACTTCATTAAGCGATCATTCCTTGATGGAAAGGTATATGTACAATTCCAGATCAACCGGATAGAATCGCTGAAAACAGTTGCAATGTAATGATTGTGCTTCCATGACTACCACGACTTTTCAAGTAACTTATCACCACAATATAACATTTACAAGTCTGGCAAACATTTGGTATCTTAAAAAAAAGTTGATATATCCTAAATGAAGAGAAGAGAAATTATTCAGGTGGAAAATTTTATTTAGAAATTTAGGGGACAATTGGCTGTAAGCAGATGTGATAAACCAATTTAGGGACATTCTTAAATTAAGGCTTTAGTTGATATGTTTGTTAAAAATGATCTACAGATATGCATGCAAGATAATTTTTCTATTTCTAATTACTGTTGCATTCAAGAATAACCTATTTGATGATCACATAGAGTAAAAACCATAAATGAGAATGTCTTGCTCTCCAATTGTAATAAAATTCCAATAAATACCAGATTTGCCAGGTGTTAATTGTTTTACTATGGAACAAAATGACTTGTGTATCTTTACAGTAGGATAAATTACCGGTTAGCCTATCTCATCACATTGTACATATATATACATCAAATAATATGGTATATCTGATACTAAAAGGACATCGGATTGTCAGGCAGCTCTCCTCGACTCTGTGGGGTAGAGCTATTTGTATGTATAGGGCATTGTTTATGTTTATGCGACCTTACAATACCCAGATAGTTGCAGATTGTGGCTGTGATAGGTTCCTCTCAAACACATTCTTATCAATACCCTCTTTTGCACTACTCATATTATGATATCAATATTAATAATAAAAATTGCAGGCTATCATATAGATAATATCTAATTCCACAACAATTCTGGCTACCCCATACATGTGTATCTACACAAAGCAGGGACAAGCTTTATTGGCGAATAAATATAGGAGATAATAGAAATTCTATCTGTTGATCTTGAAACTACCTTTATATGTATACAAAAACTTAGGTGTATGACTACATGTGTTTAATGATAAATGATCGTTGCTGCCTGCATGTGTTTATCATAGCTAATTGGTTATTGTTTAAATAAACTAAGCAAGCATAATTACTTAAGTAAACAGTAATTATACGGCCTCTAATACACAGCCAACTGATATGACTATTTATGAATGATATCAAGATGTTGAGTGATAAAGATTGTGATCTGTATCATCAGAATGTTTTATTAGTTTGAAGTTCTGCATGTCCAGAGTTGTTTGTTATCAGATGTATAATTGATATAATATATGATGCAAAAATGTAAATGTTCTACTTACACGTGGCTTTGTTATCTGTGTACCTAACTCCATATAAAACAACAACGCTGTCTGTCAAGTATTTTGCAGACCTTAGCAGAATTACATATATATCTGCACATGATTCATAATTTCATACATTTTGCTCTTATACTTTATCAAAATGTCTGAAGACATCAAGAATTTTTTTATTACTAATTGTCTATTCCTGCCTTTTCATTTATCAGTAAAGAAATTTTACCTGAAATTTTAGAATTTGCCGAAATCTTAGATAATTTATTTGCATCAAGTGAAATAATGAGCGCGGAAAAGGTGTATTTTTTCTGGCAATCATGGTTAACAATTTTCCTTATCTAAAAAAATCACATTCCATCTCAACATGTAGATACAAGGTTTCCTTGGATCCTTGTCCCAATAATAGCATATTACACTCACAAAAGTATCCCATTTCCCTTGTAATTACAGACAGCAGAGACATTTGAAAAATAAATATTGATCCACAGAATAATAAAGTGGGGTTTAATTCACAGTATTCTGATGTGTTTTTTAAGGGCAATTTGGTTTCTTCTAAAAATATTTTTACAAAAAAGAGATTAATGTACTCCTTTGTAGTCTGACACGATTCTAACAAATTTAAAACATTTAAATTTCTGAACTGTAGTAATTTAAATGTTTCTGACCTTTAAAGTTTAAATGTACATTAAATACATTTAAATCGCCACTGTTATGTCATATCATATGCTGTAAGTGCTCCATGAGGACTTCAAGTAATTAACTACAACACAGATTGTTCAATTACATGTAAAATTTTTTCTGCGATATTTTTTTTCAAGGTAAATCATTCACTGAAATTGAGTTGAAGATCACTTTAAAATTAAGTGTTTTAAACAACAAAATGTGAGTGAGTGCAAACCCTGAAGACACGAATAGGCTACGTACTAAATGCCAGTGGGGACAGACACTGACAGTTCTCAATGATATCAATCCTTATGACTATAATCATATTGTTTTCTATCAATTTAGACAGGTGAAAAGTATCAATATGCCTTCAAGACAGAATATTCAAGTACATGAAAGAGATTTTTTTTTCTCATCATATTTAATATACATTAATTTTTGTTAATTCTTTTTTTATTGATTTTTTTAAGCCAATATTTATCATATTCACTATCAATTTAATATTTAGAAATTTTTCTTTTTCTTCAGTCATATCTTTATAACTTTAAAACTGAAATATATATTAAAGCATTACAGCACACTATAAAATACAAGTAAGACCAATCCTAGCGTAAAAACACCATCAATGAAACATTTGATGAATATGCCAAATAATAAAATACACATGCTATTTCTAATTTCATTTAACATCATACTAGTAATACTTTCCTGTATTTTTTCTTTTATCAAAATGACTTAACTGAGATGACTCAGATAAAATTAAATCACAAGACGTAAACAAATTTGACAACTTAATCATTAGATTGAGTCTGTTGTATCTTATTTCCCGTTAGAACTTAAGTTGAATTCATTGTTTTGTCAAATAAATAAGTCTTCCTGAGGATGTCAAAATACTGGGAATATTATACCCCTCCTTTCTCAAGCTGGCCTGCTCAAGATTGTATCCTAAACAATGTTCTCTTTACCATAGATGCTACCAAGTGAGATATTTACACAACGAAAGAGACGGATCAATATGACCAAAATCCTAGATGGTATTTAAACAATTATCATTTATCCCATTCAATCAAAACACCATACTGCCATCAACAAGAAAAGAAAGTTTATCAAAAAGGACTGCACTGAGCATGAACAGAGAAAAGCATCAAGATAGGAGACTTTCTGTCAAAATAAACTCGAAAACAATTGCAAATAGCAAAATCCCAACACCCCAACATTAGGTAAGATAAACAGTGTTTCACATACAGAATTATATGTGAGTACAGAACAAGTGGCATTATTTGGGGGTAGATTTGATGAACAAAATTCTCACCTGAGGGGAGTGGGGTGATCTGTGTTTGGTCACCATTGAGTTCACATCCCGGTAATCTGTGTGGCTCTCCTGGCCCTCAAGGGGGCTTGTCCTTCTACTACTTGGTTGGGACTGACTCCGTTCCCAGATCCTCATCATTCCTGCAGACTTGGAATATGTTTCATGTGGTAGTTCGCTATAGCTGGCTTGGCGAGCCAGGTGTTTTTCATGCCGTTTTCGAGTACTGGAACTGTCACTGTCCCGTTCTGGAGGTGTAGCAAGAGACGGGTGGGTCCTGTCCTCTTTTTGGAATAATGGTGGAGAAACATGTTCCTGTGTCTCGGCCACTGGTGGAGAAGTTATGTGCTTGTTACGTTTTTTGTGTGGCAAAGCTGCATTAGAATTATTGTGCCAAAGTTCATCCTCTAGGTAAGCAAGATGATGATAGAACTGGTCCCGAGACACATGCAGAAGAGGTGGCGGTGGGTTTGTGCCATAAAATGGAGGCACGTCACCATTAGCATAGTGAGGGGTATCCAACTTAAGACTCATGGTCACAATCAAGTCCAATACCACAGAGAAATGATAACAAAAATCAACCAAAGACTGAACTTTAAAGTCAAAATTCAAAACTGTTTAAAGGTAATGTCATTATGAAGTAAAAATTTTCCTGAAGTTAAGGTAATCCACTTGATGATGAATGTGAACTTTCAGTGTCCGTATATCTCCTCAATAATGAATCAAATGTCAGAAAATTCCCTGAGAATGTCTATCATACACTTAAATACAGTAGACAGGAAGGAAACACAAAAAACACCTCCGTAAATGGGAGGAGTGTTCACAATGAGTACTCAAGATCTGTTATTTAGAGACACGCTCTCCATCCTCAGACCCATATACAATGACCTGCATTTAAACAAAACTTGGTTGACATTCTAATTATATAAGTGTTCATACACTTTCTCCATTTCACGGTTTGTCAGCGAAGTGCGATGTCCAGAATCACAGCATCGGTGTACACGTGATCACTCTGAAATGGTTATCACCTGTCGATGCCTGTATTTGCGTTCACCATCCACATAGTATCTAACTCTGGTTCCAATGTCTTCAGCTCCAGTATATTTAAAATCTAAGTAAACATGTTCAAACAACTTAAAATAATTCTGATAACCTTTTTTTTTGTAGTTGATATCAAATATACAGATTATTAATTTTCTATCACAGAGTTAAGAAAGTTCACTTGTCTATCCCCCTCTGTCTCAGCAAATGTAATGGGAGGCCACTGTGTCTGTTACAGGTGTGATGGTGTACAGGTGTATACACAGTATGATAGTCCTTCACACTTGGCCTAAAGACCTAGTGTACTACTACTGTTGATCAGCCGACAGCCCACTACTGCACTAGGGCTTGTCAATCAGCTGCTAATTTCTGACTGACATATAAATAAATGCTGCATGGAAAGGGAATAATCAAAACTTCAGAGGTTTGACAGCCTCAGGTTATCATTGGTCAGATTGGACAAAAGGTCAGAGGTCACCTGGGAATATATAGATATAGCATATCCTATACATGTATCAGATTTAGACCAGTACATTAAAAACCTAGATCTGTGTTGAATTAAACCGTGGCTGTCAGACCCAGTATTAATGAAGAGCCTCCTATACAATGTTTTTATCATGGTAAGTATGTTCAGGATCTTCCCCAGTCACAGAGCTCCATCTGGAACTAAAATCTCCAGAGCTACCAATAAATTTGAGGGGTCAGGATTCTCACCTATATCCTGTCAGATTGGAGAACTGATCACGTATCCAAACAAACAGGTCTAAAGCATGTATCAGATAGAATTCTCCCTAACTTAAGTATTGATTAATTACCACCAGGAATATATAGAACAAGCACCTGTTGTCTTCCTTGTAAAACATCAGGATACATTTTACAGAAACATTCATTCATGAACTGACATTTATAACCAACAAGTTATTACTTTTTTACCAGCAACCTGATTGGCCAATCACTGATATATGACTGTAACCAAAAAGACTACTTCTCAAGAAAAATCCAACACAAAAATTGTTTAAACAAATTCACAACTGTAGCATAAAAAAGATACATATAATGATTAACATAACAGTAGTTTTCATAAGTCAAGTTTTAAGCTAAATGTGAGGTATTTTCCTGAAACAGGTTTTTTTTCTGTGAGGAAACCTATTTCTATGAGATAATGTACCTGTTACATTTGTGTAGTGAGTATTTTCTCAATTTGTAGTTTATTTGTCCCACATTTAAAACATACATGAACCCACCTGACTCAAATGTCTGTCTCATAAATCACTGTTTCATATCTACAATTGTGAAATAATTACTTGTGTGTTTTTCTTGGTCCAAAGTTAAACATCAAGACATTTTTCCCCAAAAACATGGCAATTAACTTTTAATGAGAGTTGTTAATATAACTTAGCATCATATCCACACAAACAATAAGACAAATTTGTACTCTTATAATGTTTGTACTCTTATAACAAATATTTACCAAGGTAAACATGTTTGTGTGTACAGACCGCTATATGTTGTATTGTGTACCTGATCAGACCTAAGATGTAGATAACATAGTATATAAAACAGACATGTCTGTTTTTCATTCATATAAGCGGTCATCTAACTGAATAAATTGTTCTAAATACTAACATCCTGGCTGTAACACTGGTAAAATTTTATCAAAGAATAAACTGTATTCCAAGGCAATGAATGCCACAGGATTCAAATTAGCAAGGGCATTCCTCTTGATTTATATAAAATATTTCAATATGTGCCAAAAAGAAGCTACCTTCTGTTTTATACCATAGAAAAACTTGGAAACAAACGTTATTTTGGTGTTAACTTTGTATTTATCAATTTAGTGGTTCATTAAGAGTGTATTAGAGATATCACCGAGGTTACATAACATAACAACGAGATGACATTAACCAGTTCTACGCCAGCTAACACCTCGTATCCTCATTCAACAAGTTGTTATCCCATTTATAACAGATTCCCAAGAAGTAAATCACAGCAAACATATTTTTCTACTCTATTACAATATGCTTAAAGAAAACCAGAGAAATGATATCCTCAATCTGTAATTTGTTTTGGTTCTGTTTTGAGTGAAAAGCACTGTATGGAGTATGGAAACGAAGTTTATATATAAACTATATTTATCTCATAATAATTGCCACACAAGTTTAAAGCTTTTATTAATCCCTCTGGATGGCCTGGATGAAAGTGCCCAGGGTTCTACTATGGAAGAAAACTGGGGTATCTGTGGAAAAACCACATGGTGAGGCATGTGACCCCATACCCAAAACTGTTGTGGGAATCGAACCTCCAATGCCTAGATGTGAAAGATGATGCCTTTATGTGAAAGACGAGTGTGTTACCTGACCCTCCTTAAACAAGAAAAACATTGTTTATTGCTTCACATTTTGTTGACAAACATAAGACTTGTTTCTTTGCTTGGTTTATTACAGGGTAATTTTATTTGAAACTTGTTGAAGTAGCTGGCGGTCACCCCATTGAACCATTGAACAACATACAGATCCCATTGCATGCTGTCCACAGCAATAAGGGTAAAATGTGTTATTCATGGATAGATCCTGGTTAGCAAAAACTCGTCCGTTTTTCAGCTTCCTATGAAACACAAACTGTCATTGGTAGGGAGCAGCACACGAACCTGATGCACCTAAAGATCTTCACCTGAGGTCATTCAGGTCGACACTTCAACTGACAGCGCTATTGCGATGTCGCGGCCACTTACTAATATAGGCTGATGTAATTAAGATGCTATCCATAAATGGCAGCAACCTAGATATAGACATAATCATCTGTAAAGGTGCTGATGCTAGTGCAAAATAAAGATATTTAACCAAAATGTAACCATAACTATATGCCTGGTATGATATTCAAACCCAGCAGGATAAACAACCATCTGTGACAAACACACCTGGTATTTCTAGCTTTTCAAATTATACATTAACAAGTGTTGTAAATTTAATGATGAGTAATATGTATCATTTTACTCAAATATATGTCTACACATTTGACAAGTTTTATCACAAAAGTGAACCTAGTTTTTTCAAACAACTTTTCATCAAACTAAATATTCTTATAACATAACATGTAGCTTGGTGAGAGTGAAAGGAGTATCTTTAGGTACAGTTTGTACATTTACATACATTTGTATATGGTTGCTAACACACTATTGACGGAGCGTGATTTTTATTTTCTTGCCAGAGACTCTGCTTCGGATACAGGTTTTCAGGATGCTCTGTCAGGATTATCTTTTCCTCTTTTTCCTAAAGAAATTTCCATAATCAAAACCAAACACTCTTAATACCACAACACACGAGATTTCTCCAAGCTCAAATGTGAATGAAAAGGCATAAAGGAATTGAAACTGGGTCTCCAGTGTGATAAACTGGAACTCTACTAGCCAGGCCCAAATTGGGTAAATTCTACTTAAATGATTCTTCTACACCAGAATAATTTGCAGAAATCTGCTGAAGGCTGATATCTTAGTATATAGACATACATATCAATGCTTTTTGGATTCTTTGGGGCCTAAATAACGACCTAAAAGAGCAAATGTAACAGAAGTTTTTCACTGCCTCCTTTGGAATTGAACCCCTGACCTTAAGCTTATCAATGCTTTACAAGTTACCTAAGTAGATACCAAAGCAAAAGAGGCATCCTCCTGAGCCAAATTAGCACGACACAGTTAGTATTTTACCAAGGTGCAGACATAAGGTCTCATTCCCATCTGAAATTGATTCTGTATTTGTCAACTTTAATATCAAAATAAGACAAAAATGACAGGATTCCAACTCCACGAAAATATGACTCCATTCCAAAATGAAAAAAAAAACCTCAAACTACCAGACACAAATAGTGAGTAAGCTTAACCAAAAACATCAGCAACAATAAACATTGAACCAACAGGAACACAAGTTCTTGGATTTTCAATGTAATCCTCTGGATTTGACTATGGTCACAAAAGTTCCACACCCTAAATACAGATGTAGAGCTCAAGGCTATTTATGGGCATATGTGTATACACTAAGTCCTAGAATCTTATCATTTCATCAACACATAACAATGACCACTGATACAAGTCCCTCCAGGTGATATGATCATAGGGACAAATCCAGGTATCAGACTGGATCTTCTGCTATATCCATATGTTTAGGGTCAGAGATACTCTGTGCAATGTTCACTCGCACAATAATGGCCTTATTTCATTTAAAGATATTGGATACAATTAAAATTCTATACAAGTATTAGCTTAATCCTATAATGACAGTCACGCATCAATCCCATTGATTTTTTTAAGCAAAGACGTAACACGACTTGCTGTCGTTTTAAAACTGACGCCTGCAGTAAATATGGATATAAATCTGACTAACTGAATTACTTTTAGAACACTGATTTTTGAGAAGGAAGAATATTTATTCCATTTTTGTACCTGAGCTTGTTCCAGCATTCATCTCTACAGAAAATAACCACAGACATGGTCAATCACA